TCCATCAACCCCAAAAATTTGTTTCCCTCACTCTGAACCTCACGTCGGCCCGTCTCAACCTAAACGGTCTTCTATGGAGTCGTGTGTATTGTTCTGGGAAAGCTGCCGCACTGCTCCATCCTTAGATGCAGTTTCCCTACCAAAATTATTGGTAGGGTTGCGAAGAATGTTGCGCATAAAAATTTTTGATTGCTCTTTTTAAGCCTCGTTTTTACTCCGATTCGCAGCCACTGGTCTACGGCTCATGCGATTTCTTATTTACTAGCGTTGTTTCAGAGCTAGTTTTGTTAGGGTATATTAGGTTATATTTTGTTAAGCTATAGTTTTAAGATATTTATTCTTAATTTTTTTTGTCTTCGCGTTGCCACTACACACATTTCGCCTCGTATATAACTTCCTAATGCAAAACAGAGGCGAAGCAAATTAGGATTCACGTTTTGAAGCTGTATATCCTGGCATGTTGGAAAAGGAGTGTTTGAAATCAAGTTAAGGAAGAAGCCAGGCCATGTGCTCTCGTTTGTGTGAGCCCCAGCCATTGAATGTACAATACTACAAAAAATAGCCTTGGTGAATTTCTTGCTGCAAATACCGACAAATAGGCTGCGCGAAGTACCACTTAAAAATAATAAAACGTCGAATAACAAATATAAAAAAAAACGCTGAATACCCACGGAGATCATGGGGCGAAGCATCTGTCCTTCCATTTCTTCTTGCTTCTATCCGTCCTTGCATCCATCTGTGCGATCGTCCGTACGTCCATCCGTCCGTGTATGTGCGACCATACATCCATGCGTCCGCCCACCCGTCTGTCCACCCACTCGTGCGTCCTTCCGTGCATTTGTATGTGTCCATTCGTGCATTCGTCCGTCCATCTAGTGAACACTCAAAGTACTGCCATTTTGCATCTTTATCATATGTTCAGCATATAGAAGTACCACCACCCAGCGGACATTAGGCGAGAGGTGGCACTCGCGCACTTTATACAGCTTGCGCTTGGTGTCTATACTTCCCTCCTTTCACCCCCTCTAAATCATTGCTATATATATATATATATATATATATATATATATATATATATATATATATATGTATGTATGTATGTGGCATCGTGGCCCGACCCTCGCTATACCTTGCTAAAACCAAGGGGGTTACGCCCAGCAAGTTCAACGTGTCAACCCTTTCTGGTCAGATAGCGCTCAATGTATGTTCTTCTGTTAGAAGTTTTTTATAGGCAGCACCGAATTCGAAGAAAATTCTATTGGAGATTAAGACGCCGATACTCGTCTCTGTAGGTTATTTCACAAGAAATAAGTGTTTTTATTTATGACTACCGCGCGCGGGTTTCCTCGTCAATTGAAAAGGGTGTGTGTGTGCCGCTCCTCTAGTCCGGCCGTGGAGGTGGCTACCTCCTACTACATTTACATACATCGCTGACGTACGACCTACGGCATAGGGAGCTTCACCCCTCAAAATTATGGACCATCTCCTCGAAAAGAACGCTGATGGAATGCAAAGCAGCAGCGTTGCGCACGGTGTTAACTACGTTGAAACAGGTGTCGGCGCCGGTGCTGGTAGAGTGGTTTGTAGCGTTTGCTCAGTGTAGCGTTTACTCGAGTAAACGCTTGTTTGAAACGCAAGGACACTGGAGGCGGGTTGGGTTTTGTGTAAGCTTCATCACAGACAAACGAGCCGGAAGTGTTCACACTCGTTATGCGGTCGAGCGTTGCGGGCGGTGGAGAGGGCGAGGTGAGAGAGAAGTGTGTTGCGAGCTCGGCAGGAGCCAGCAGCTTCGGCGGGTTACGTCGAGAGTGGCGTCGACGTGCAGCTGCGAGTATACTTGACATCAATCCGGCAACTGCGGCGAGAGGAGTGTGGTGCGGCACGTTGGCACGGAGACACGGATGAACAGCGTTACACAACCTAGTCAAATAGCTGCTTCGCATATAAAAAAGAATCGTCCTGACGGAGCGCACGAGTCACCGTATACGCGCACAAGTTGCCCTAATGTTTTAAGGAATTGTTCAATAAAAGCGTTGATAACTGGGAGTTATCAACGGTTACTTAGGTATACAGCAGTAAATGCGCATGAACTGTGGCAGTGCGATCGCCACATCCGGGCTTCGTTCTGGGGCGCTCTATCTCGAAAGGCAGGCAGTCTCTCAGAGGCTGCCTGCCTTTCGCCGAAAAAGCGTGTTTTAACAACCAATTACGGTGACCAAATGTAATCTGCGCTCACTGAACCCATTTTAAAAACATTTACGCACGCAAAGTTTTGTTTGAGTTTATCACTTCGACTTTAACAAGTTCCTTCGTCTAAAAACTATGATAAAAATGTGGGAACCCTTTAAGGGCTAGACACGATGGACACAAAAGCACATACGCTCGCAGACACACAATTGCCTTTTCATTCACTAGTTTGCCTTCAGTAATCACTTCTCGTGGAAACCAAAACTGTCCCCCAAAGAGAGTCAAAATGCAAGTGCCCTTCGGCTCGTGCCTTGATTGCATCTACTTCAAATTTTTGCGCACGCCCAACGCTGCTTCTCGATCACAACAGAAGACGCCACTGCCGACATCAGAAATTCTGCGAAACGACTTGTTTAAAGGGCCCCCAAACAACCTGCGAAAATACAAAGAGCAACTGCGTTATCCTCTCTGTTCGTTTCCCGTCTTTGCGACACAGCTCGTGACGCCGAAAATTTGTTTACGTGATGTCAAGACAAAAAAAAAAGTCTTGAGTAATCAATACACCAGACGTATCTGTTGTGAATTGTCACTTACTCTGCTTTGTCATGCAGTCACCGCTCCATCGTGCCTTGTCACTAACTTCGTTTTCAGCGTTTGCGAATGCGCAGCTGTGTGTGGTCAGTGTGTGGTCGGAAAGCATGGAATCCTGACTGGCTCAACGCTGATGACTGACAGTCCTCGCGTTTTATAAAAGTATAGGTGGCGAGGAGAAGACGAAGCTTGCAGGAAGGGTAGTGAAGGCGAGAAGCAAACTGTGTCGCTTTTGAACTTGAAGTAGTTTAAGGGTCTTTTAAAGGCCAACTCCGGTGATTTTTCGACCATGTCAAGGTAGTGGTGTTTTTATGTTCCGAGACACTCTTGTCATGAGGCCGACAGCTGAAATGCTCAGGAAATTTGACATTGATTTTTAACAAGAAAAAAAATTGTGCAGTGACAAAACCGAAACATAAGCTGGCGGCCTGTATGCGTATGACGTACTATTTGGTAATAAATGGAGGCCGTTTACTGCCATGATCCCGCCAGCGCTGAGTATAAAAACTGAAAGCCAGACACCATAGAAGAAGGAAGAGAGCTTTCCCATGCTATACTCGTGCCGATCACTGCTGCCATCGCCTTGTGGCCAGCACACTAAACTCTGTAGCAGACAAAGTAGTGATACCACCGGCTTCGTCTCTTCTGTTTACATGCCAAACTTGACGTAACACAGACGATGTTACCAATAATTCTGGCAAGCGAGGTGAGCTTTTCGAGTCAATCATTAAAATTCATTTGTGAACAATCAGTGCATCTCTCAAGCCTGTAATTTAACATAAATGACAAAAATGTGCAAAGGAACATATCCAGCAATTTTCAGTGAGATCCATTAACCTCGAAAAATCGTCGTAGTTGGCCTTTAATGGTGTCGCATTAAAATCTAAAGCATCGGGTTCTGCCAGCCCCACTGATGAAGAGCACGCCGGCATTATCATGCGAAGCACGTGAACGAGGGGCATTCGACAGGGGATGGCTCCGTATCTACTTGCCCTGAATGGCTTCACAGATAGCCTGGCGCAACAATATTTCAAATCCATTTCGTATGAATGGAGCTTTAAGAAGTTCTCGCCATGGGATCTGAATGACTAGTAGTGTGTGAATGTGGATAGTAATGTGTGGTAGTGTGAATAGCCATGGTAGTGTGTGATAAGCTTGAGCAGTTCATCTTCTTTTATTTTGTGTTGCCATGTTGCGTACACTTTGTCGTGACGTTATTCTGACGGCTCTGCGGCCACCACGGGGAGGTTCACTGCTGTGGTGGCGGCAGCTATTTTTCTGCGAAAATTTGGCTGTCGCATTGGTGCGTCGTTGAGCATTGCCGTAATTATTTCTATAGGACAGATGTTACCGACTCAGGCACGAAGGGCTGGAAACAGCAAAAGTACAGAACGCCGCATGACGGCTCTCATAAACGCACGAGGCAACCAAACGATCAGCAGCGGGTCGTTTATTCGGAAGGGAAGAAGAAAGCTAACTTACTTTTCTAGTGTTTCCAGAAGAGCGCGACCTATTACACAAGCAAAAAGAATAAAAGACGCATCACTACAAAGCGAAACTAGCGGTTATATGTGATATATCAGTTCACTCGAAACAGGGTATCACCATTACCGAGGATGTTTTTGAAGTATCTACGCACACACATGTGCTACATAGGTCGCATTTGTTTTGTCCCGCTTCGGTAAACTTGGTAAACTTGCGCTAATGGTTATTTAAGATATCTTGCACCGATAAAGCCAAAAGTCAGCCCTTCCTAAGTTCATGTTTTTGGATCGCGAAACAGCCGAGACCGTGCACTTCTTTTTGTCCACGATGGCGTTCCCTTTGGCTACATAGCATGCAGAGCTTATTAACGAGCGACTTTTCGCTGTTGTACCAGATACACCACAAACACTCTCCACTGCGCAACGATGTAATATTTGGCTGGCATGTTCTCAGAAAGAGTGACTGCTGGTGGGCTGCGTTGTTTTAAGCTCAGTCTTGCAGAGCCACAGTCGTGACGAGGTCTACTGGCAATATTTACTAGACATTTTCGTTTGTTGAAATATGGCTATTTAACAATAAAAAGAATACATTCTTGTACGAACAAGTTTGAGTAAGCCACAGTTACACTCTAGCAGCTAAAATCTCTTGCTTGGCGACAACATTGCACTGGTAGTGTTTGAGTTATCACTGCTGTGTTGTTGAAGATGGTTCAAAGTTTTGTGTCTATATTTTTACAGATAACTGTGCAGTGCACAAGCACCTTTATGGCGGCGTCTTCTTTGTTGACTGCATTCCAAAGACCGAATCGGGAAAGACGGACCGGCCAGCTGTGCTGCGGAAATGTTGCTAAATATGAAGGAATCGACCAAGCTTCCGAAATGGCTGCTTCTTGAAGATTATACCATTAGCGTCGATTAAATAGTTACATTGTCAGTACCTAATAAAGAAATATTTATTTTACATTTAGTTATTTATTTACACTTGCTGCTGCCTTCATGAGCTTTCACAGGAGCGAGAAGTGGCAAATATACTATAGAATCATGTAATGGGTAAAAATATCAGCGATTGAAAATAATATACACTAGACTTGCATAGTTAAGCAGGGGGAAGCAAACGGAAAGGGAAAAGGCTGGGAAGTTAACCAGAAATACTACTTGTTGGCCACCGACATTGAAGGGTTGGGGAAGTAGAATAGAAAGAGAAGAAATAGAGAGGAGAGTAAAGAATGAAATAAAAGAGAAATTGAGGCATTACAGCGTGTGAAACTGCACAAGTGAAAGGCATTCACACAAGCCAGTCGCCCTCAAGATGCACAAGAGGGCTTTCGCTGCCTTGCACAACATCAATATGTGGATGGGGCTTTTGAAGTACCTGCACAGAAAGTGGCCGATCATCCAGTTGTCGCAATGGGTCGGGAAACACTTATCTGCGAGGAAAATAGAAGACAGTGGCACAGCAGGCGTTCGATATTTTCGTCGGTGCCACAAACATCTCATGCCACACTGCTAGTCACTCTGATTAACGTTGTATATGCTTCCTTGGAAGCAACTCACCACCGAAGACCATAAACTAAGCTTCTAAGCAAGTGATAAAGATGTTATATCGCCAGGCGAAGCACACCCCAAATGATTAGACCAAATGAATAGTGTGGACAAAAACTGTAAACACACAAATCTGGTGATGAACAGAAAACATTTACATCCTGATGATATCAGGTTAATAGAGATTCAGCCGGTGTATTGTAGTTCCTGAACACATCAAATTGTGGAAAGTAAATTAAAATATGAAAGTAATACGGAGGGAAAGTAATTACAATGCGGAAATTACAAAATCGTCATCATGACGTATGTGAACTTCGCCTACTACAGCTGCCGCACGGCAACTTCTAAAGTGGTTAGGCGTGTGACACAGCCGCCATTTCTTTCCGAACCAGGCTGGACATTGTTTGGGTTTGCGCCAGCAGTTGCACCGGTGACAGTGACGTTTATTCGCTTGTTTTCCTTCCTTTGAGGTAGACGGGAGCCTTGAAACAGTATTGGCACTCTCTTCGCCTTTACGCCACACTTCGTTTCACTGTGCTACCGTCTCCGCTGCCTTGCACATTTTCTCTGCTTTTTGTAACGTTACCAGGTTGTGCCGCAACAATTTCTCACGTAGCCTGTGACTGCTTGTGCCAAATACGATTTCTTCCCTTATCATCGATTCCTGCAAAGTGCCAAAGTTACACTGTGCTGTTTGCTTTTTCAAATCACGAATAAATTATTGAAATGGTTCTCCGTCAGCTTGCTTTATCGCACGGAATAAATATCTCTTGTGGAATTCATTGCCGACATCGGCGTAATAGACTTCAAGCTTTGTACCACGGTGCTGTAGTCGTTCTTGTCCTTGTTCGGCCCGAACTGGAGGCTGTAAAAACGCCCAACGCGTTGTACCAAGCAATGCACAGTAGCAGCGCTGCTTCGCTGCTTCCATTTTCGGCTACGCCTGTTGCCGCCGTCACCTGCGGTAAAAAAGGCAGATGTTACGTACAGTGGCAGTCAAAATTATGCGAATGATGAAGGTTGATATGCCACATCAAAAAAGCACAACGTTAGAAGGTGGACGTGAATTATGCCGTACAAGATTTTCATGTCATGTTTATCATGTTTCAACGTGTCATTTGCCTTCATCATCAATTAACGTCACGTAATACCAAATCGGGTATATCTTGAGCAAGGGAATGGCCCCGAGCATGCTACTAGCAAAACATGCAGTCACGTTGTTACATGACACGCATGTCATGATTATCATGTTTAGACGTGTCATTCACCTTAATCCTCCGTTCGCGTCACGTAATACCAAAGTTTATGTGTGTGAAGCTAGCGAAACGGCCGCGAGCGCATCATGAGCGTGGGATATAGTCATGTTGTTACATGACACGCATCTCATGACTATCATGCTTGCACCAGTCACATACATTCAGCATCCATTCATGTCCTGTAATACCAAATTTGGTATATGTGAAGCTAGCGAAATGGCCACCAGCACATCATAATTGTGGCATGTAGTCACGTTAATACATGACACGCATGCATGATTTGCAGCCCCATCGTAGTGTTCTAGTGGCTAAGGGGCTCGGTAGCTGACCCGCAGGTCAAGGGATAGAATCCCGGCTGTGGCGGCTGCATTTCCGATGGAGGCGGAAATGTTGTAGGCCCGTGTGCTCAAATTTGGGTGCACGTTGAAGAACCCCATGTGGTCAAAATTTCAGAGCCCTCCACTACGGCGTCTCTCATAATCATATGGTGGTTTTGTGACGTTAAACCCCACATATCAATCAATCAATCAATCAATCAATGCATGATTTCATGTTCGGGTCGGTCGCTTGTGTTCGCCATGCAGTCATGTCTTACCATACCAGTTTGGCAACATGCCACGTGAATGAAATCACCGCAAGAGGAGCAAGACCATGAAATGTAAATCCTGACATTCATGACATCCGTGTCATGATTTTCACGTTTTGACTAGTCCCTTATGCTCATCATACAGTCACGTTACGCGATATTATCATAAAAATTTTGGTATTGATACCAACATCAAAAGGGCCGGAAGAGCTAAAAGTACTAGGTGGCTAGATTGATATATACGCTCAATATCACCTAAATTCAATAAGAAATGCTTCGCATTTCAGAACTGAAACTTCTGCTTAAACCGCTTCCAGTTTTCTGCGACGTCAGCCGCAATAGCTCCAGAGTCTTCAGGTGATGTGCTAGATGCGGGAACGATTTCCTGCGGCGTCAAAGGGCCGCTTCTGACATCATGTGCTGTGGTAATCAAAATTTTTGGACCGCGGGAGTGCGTGGCGAACAGCTCCGCAGTGCCTTCTCAGGACTAGAGAAGAAGCTCGAGGGCACACACTGCACAAGCGCATCCTTTTCTACCTGCCAGACTGCATTCTCGCTCCCTTCAACTGCGCGTACACGGGAACACCAGAAAAATCGCAAGGTGTCACTATTGAAGCAGCCGTGGAAGCATCGAGTGATAAAATCGCGACAAATACGTATCTAACTTGTAGCCGCAGTGTACAGTGCGCCCCCCTTCTGCGCCTCGGTTCCAGATGCTCCGTGGCGGCGAGAGCACGCATATTACGTCAGTTTTTTTAATCGACAAAAGTGATAAGATTACGCGCAGTGCTTCCTCTTGGCGAAGCACTCCTTAAGGCTGGTGCACACCAGCGACTAGCAGCGGTCGCGCGACCATTCGCGACTGGTGACCAAAAAGCGACTGATGCTCACACCCACGGAGTAAGCAAAGGTAGGAAAGGCCCTGACGTTACTCGTTGTGAAGCCGCGATGAAGCCGGAGGTCGGCCATATTGACTTGGCAAATTCTCCTCTCTTGTTTACATCCGAATGTAAAGCAGAAGGCGCGACTCTCTCTCCGGCTCGAAAAGAACGTGGGCTGCGCAACGCGTGTGTCGTGACGATCCGAAACTAATGAAACGGCGCTCATCACTCTGAGCCAGCGGGACACCTTCGGCGAAATCATTTCGTCCGAGTAATAACAAGGAGCAACGACTCGTCGACAACGAAGCAACTACAAGAGAATGCGCGCTAGATGCACTGACAACGGCGAGTGTTTTCACGTCATTAATTCAGCAACTGTACAGACAACACGATGGGTCTTGCACCTTCTATAGCTGCGTTCTGCCACGCGGCCGACGCAGCGTCCGGCCACTGTGTCCGTGTTCCGCGGGAAACTCACCGGCGTCAGCATTCTGCGACCATGGTATTTTTGAGCACGATGCAAGTGACACTTGAACGTGGTTGTCATTACGTTGAGATTACATGCAATGCTGGTGGTGAGTGTACGGAGCAGAACAGAAAAGGTGTTTTAATACGCACATGCATGTTGTTACTGTACACACACAACGCGAAACTACGTATGTGCACATGGTTCTCCTGGCGTCTCGCTGGACTCAACAGCGTCGTCCGATGTCACAAGCAGATGCACTGCTCAACCGTCTTTGACCTGCAAGGAGTTCGTCGTCGTACAGCTTCGTCATGGTGCCCAACGCAATTTCACTGAACACTAACTGCTTCATCCGCGTCATCCGCCACACGACACATGGATATGCACTCGTTCTCCGCACTGTTGAAACCCCGTGATGGACAAAGGGATTTGTAAACGTTGCTAAGAGTACAGTAACTGCCAGGAGAACATTGCGTAACCAATTACGCGGCGCAGAGCATGGATATTGTGCGCCACTGCTCAGCACGAGATCTGGGGAGGCACACATGCCACCGCCAGCCGCGGCCACTCACTGCTAGACCAGCTCCACTGCGCAACACGTAACCATAGCAACACCGCCATTGTGCCCAGTGAATATGGCCGCCATGATGTCATTTCCGTCACACTTTTTACGCCGTGCGCCGGCTGGGCATGCCCTTTCTTTCCCCCCGTGTTCACACCGGTAGAGGCTGCATCCGAGCGACCGGAAGTAGTAAAAACGGAGAGTCACTTCCTGATCTCGTTATCAGCGAGAACTCTGGCGACCGCCGCCGATCAATCGCCGCCAGCTGAGTGAGCGGAGCAAACTGAGCGCGCCGCATTTATTGCTTTCAACCGTTCTCGCACAGCGTTCCCAAGACTGTCAAGGAGTTCGATTCAAGCGAACAAGAGATGGTCATGGTGCTGAGCGCTGTGCCATGGTGTCAGTGGTGGCAGCACAGATGCCTCCAAATAAAAAAAAATGGCAGCATATCCTAGGTGCGAATGATGAAAAGTGGGGCGAAGCATCCGACCGTCCATTTGTTCTTGCTTCCGTCCGTCCATGCGTGCATCTGTGTGACCCTCCAAGCGTCCATCCACCCGTCCGTGCGTGTGCCTGTTCGTGCGTCCGCACGTCCATCCGTACGTCCGTCCCTGCGTTCGTTTATGCATCCGCCCCTGCGTCCGTCCATGCATCTGTCTGTG